GAGGCATTCATCAAAATTTAATAAACTTTATACATCAAAAGGGAGGTTGACCAATGGTCAATGCACACAGAATAAAAGATGTTTGCAAATCATATGTCGGATAATATCCAGGGACTGGAGTGATGACTCAGTCAGTAGAGTGCTTGTCATGCAAACATGAGGACCTGAGTTTGAGCCTCAAAATTCATGTTAAAAAGCTGAATGTGGTGACACGAGCTAGTGATCCTAGTACCAGGACGTCTGATCGCTGGGGCTCACTAGAAGGCCAGCCTAGCCTAATTGGCCAGCCCCAGACCAGGTAGTACCTGAGGAATGACACCAAGGTTGGTCTCTGTCCTCCACATGCTTGCACACATATGTGCACAATACCTGTACACATGTATACCTAAAGCCACGAGAAAACACACACACAAAGAATTAATACAAGAATTCAGAGAGAAAGACAACTAAAACCCCCTAACATTTAGCGCAAAAATACAAACAATGCAAAAACGGCTTGAATAGACATTTCACCAAAGAATTTAAACACATGGTCAGAAAGAATACAAAAAGGCTCAGCATCACCAGCCACTGGGGAAATGCAAATCAAAGCCACAATGATATTGATACCACCTTACACCTATTTTTTAAAAATTCAAATAGCAAGAGTTGGAGAGGATGTATAGAAATTGGAACCCTCGTGGACTTATGGACTGTTGGTGGGCATTTAAAATGGAATTTAAAATATTTTGGTGATTTCTTTTAAAGGAGCCATAGGGACTGGAGACATGGCTCAGCAGTTAAGAGCACTAGCTGTTCTTGCAGAGAGAAGCTGGGTTCAGTTCCCAGTACCCACTGGCAATTAACAACCATCTGTAACTCCAGTTCCAGGAAATCTGATGCCCTCCCCAGGCACTGCATGCATGTGATACACTTGCATATGTGTAGTCAAAACACTCAAACACATCAAATACAAATAAATTTTTTAAATTAAAAATAAAATAGGGACTGGAGAGGTTGCTCAGTGGTTACGAGCATTAGCTGCTCTTCCAGAGGACCCAAGTTCAGTTCTCAGCACCCACATGGCAGCTAACATCCATCCAAAACGCCAGTTCCAGGGGATCCAATGCTCTCTTCTGACCTCTGTGGACACTGCACGACTTACATACATGCAGGTAATATGCTCATATGCATAAAATGAAAATAATAAAATATTTTTAAATAAAATAATAAAAAGGAGCCATAGATTTACCATATATGATCAAGATCCTGGCCTCTCTGTATATATCTGACATAGCTGAAAGTCAGGACTTGATCAGATATTTATTTGGATTGCTTCCCAACCCAAATGTTCATCAATAGATGAATGGATAAATAAAATGATATGATCACACAATGGGACATAATTCAGCCTTAACAAGGAAGGAAATCCTGATCACACAGGTACAACGTGGGTGCACCCTGAAGACATTATGCAAGTGAAATAAGCCAGTCACAAAACAACTGACTTCCATAATGTGCCTAGAGTGGCCACATATAGAGACGGAAAGTAGAATCTTGGCTAAGGAGAGAGTAGGGAGGGCAAGTGGTTGTTCAATGGTACCAAGCATCAGTTCTGCAAGATTAAAAGAGCTCTAGATATGAACAGCAGAGATGGTTGCGCATATGAATGTGCTTTGTAAGTGGTTAATAGGGCAAACTTTATATGTTAAATAGTAACAATAATATATAGGGTTTAGGGAGACAGCTCAGGCCATAAAGTGCTTTCCATGCAAATATGAGAACTTGAATTCAGATCTCTAGCACCCACATAAAAATGGGTACTGGGTACAGTAACACATCCTTGTAACTCCAATGCTGAGATGGCAGAGATAGGAGGATCTGTGGAGCAACCTGTCAGCAAGTCTAGGTGAATCAGCAAAGTCCGTGTTCAGTGAGCGACCCTGTCTAAAAAAGTAAAGTAGAGAGTGATCGAGGGAGACACCCAACATTGACTTCTGGCCTCCAGCTGTACCCTCACATGCATGTGCTCACTAGAAATGTGAATACATATGCACAGAAAAGGATCTTGTGTGGGATGGGCATTTGGCCAATATCACTTTCCTTCCCAGGGCCTTTAAGGCAGAATCAGCCAGTTCATACACCTTTTCTATTTATAGGACTCTTGTCCTGAGTTTCCCTTTTTTCCCTTTTAGATGAAATCAGGCAAATGGAAGAGGAAAGCGACATGTACGAAGGCCTGTCGAGTCAGCAGATAGTCCTCTGGTTACAAGGATTGTTCCTCTTCTCCTTGGTGTGGACTGTGGCGGGCACCATCAATGGAGAGAGCAGAAAGAAATTTGATGTGTTTTTCCGAAACCTCATCATGGGTATGGATAATAAACACCCAAGGCCCAAAAGTGTCAAACTTACCAAAAACAACATCTTTCCAGAAAGAGGTAATTTCATACTTATCATGTCCTGTTATATGAATTTGAATCACATGTCCCAAAGCCAACCAAATGTGTGGACCATATATGCTCTTTAACAAAGCTAAGGGACTGGATGGAATCACTTCAGAGTTGGCCCATGCAAGGCATGAGTGGGCCTGAAATCAGGTCTTAGAGGACTTTTGGTTACTTTTTTAATATAAAGAAAGATATGACAGTTTTTTTGGGGGGAGGGGGTTGGGATGTTGTTGTTCTATTTTTGTAAAATTTTTCCATAATTTTATGACCCACAAAGAACAGGAAATACCTCTTCTCTTGTTTTTCTTATTCCTTTCTGGTCCCATTCTATGAGTTCATATGCTTCATGTTTGGTGATTATATTATTAATATTTCTCTTATTGTCATATAATATATTGAAGTATTTCCAATTTTTCTATATCATCTTCAAAATGATCACTTTAATGTCTACAAATATTCTTTGGTGTGCAATATTTACTAAAAGAGAGGTGGGTAAGTAGCCTCTATTGCTTTTTCCCACCATCCTAGAAATACATTATATAAAACATAAAATACAGAGAAGATAGACAACATTGAGATCAGTATTAAGATCAATAATAATCCTTTTTATCCAGAAATTTCACTTACTTTTTCGTTTGAGTTTTTTTTCTGTATTTCTATAACACAAGGAAAATTATACCATAAATGCTTTCCAAATAGCTTTATTTTTGTGACTCTAAAAGAGAATATACAAAAACCAGGTCAGGGACTGAAACTCAGTATGAGAGGACATTCCTGGCATACGTGATGCCTAGGCTGGATTGTTTCAGTTGTCAACTTGACTCATCTGGGTAGAAGGAACCTTAATTGAGGAATTTCCTCCATCAAATTGGACTGTGGCTATGTCTGCGGGGCATTTTCTTGATTTTTCAGTGAGGTGGGAGGGCCCAGGCCACTGTGGATGATGCCACTCCTGGGTATGTGGCCCTGGGTTGTATAAGAAAGCAGGCTGAGCTGGGTGTGGTAGTGCATGCCTTTAATCCCAGCCCTGGGGAGGCAGAGGCAGGAAGATCTCTGTGAATTCAAGACCAGCCTTGTCTACATGGTGAGTTTTAGGCCAGCTGGGGCTACAGCCCCCACCCCCTGGCAAAAGCAAGCAAGCAAGCCAGTAAGCAGCATTCCTCCATGATCTGTGCTTCACCTCCTGCCTCCAGGTCCTTACACTGAGTTCCTGCCTTGGTTCCCCTTGATGCACTGTGAGCTGTAAGCCAAATAAACCTTTTCCTCCCCAAGTTGGTTTTAGTCAGTGTTTATATAACAGCAATAGAAACTATGACAGTACCCTAGGTTCAGTCCCCAGAACTACCAAAAACTAAAAAAGAAGAAAGGAAGGAAAGGAAGGAAGGAGGGAGGGAGGGAAGGATGGAGGGAAGAAGGGAAGGAGGGAGGGAGGGAAGGAGGGAGAGAGGTTGAGCTCGCTTTGGGACTGGGGAAGTGGCTCAAGGGGTAAAGTGCTTCACCACCACTGTAAAACCAGGTGTGGTGACACATACTTGTAGCCCCAGGGCTGGATGCAGGGAGGAGATGAAGGTCCCTGGAGCTTGCGATCAAGCCATTCTCATCAATAAGAGAGCTCCAAGTTCAGTGAGAGACCCTGTCTCAAAAAATAAGGTGGTGGGACAGACAAGATGGCTCAGCAGGTAAAGGCACTTGCCATCAAACCTGACAACCTGAGCTTGATTCTGAGACCCACAAGATGGAAGGAGAGAGCCAGCTCCTACAAGTTCTCCTCTGACCTGTACACACACACACACACACACACACACACACACATACACAGAGAGAGAGAGAGAGAGAGAGAGAGAGAGAGAGAGAGAGAGGTGTGTAATTTTTTAATTAAAGAAAAATAAGGTTCAAAAGGATTGAGAAAGTCACCCATAGACAACATTGACCTCTAGCCTCCACATGGACCCATACATATGCACACACTTTCAAAACTCTGAGAAAAAAAGGTATACATAAAGTAACTTCTTGAGATTTTTATTGGTTATTGTCTTCAGTACCTAAGAAAATAAGGCTTCTTAATAATTTTGAGTCTTCCTATACATAGCATGGATTTGAATTAGCTTTTCATTGATTTAGACTTTTGACTTCATTTATCAGAGTTTTGTAGTTTTCCCCATAGAGATACTGTACATTTTTAGATTTAAAATATTTTATTTTATGTGTATGAACGTACTGTCTGCATGTATGTAAGTGAACCTGTCATGCAATACCCTCAGAGGTCAGAAGGGGGCATTGGATCCCCTGGAACCGAAGTTACAGATGGTTGTTAGCAGCCAAGTGGGTGCTGGGAATCCAACCTGGGTCCTCTGCAAGAACAGCCAGTGCTCTTAACTGCTGAGCCATATCTCTGGCTCCCTTCCCTAACTTTTTTTTTTAGAATTTTTGTTTTTGGTCTTTTTGAGACAGGGTCTCCCTGTAGCCCCAGCTGTCCTGGAACTCACTACGTAGACCACGCTGGCCTTGACCTCAGAGATCCGCCTGCCTCTGCCTCCCGAGTGCTGGGATTAAAGGCATGTGCCACCATGCCCGGCTCCTAACTTTTTTTTAAATCCCCTTTTCTTATAACTTTGAATCGGAGTGATGAAAGGGGATCTTAGAATCCTAGGAAGAAAAAAGCCCCATCTAAGAGGAAAACAGCTAGTCATGGCCCTTCATGTCACCTATTCTTCTTCTGAGGCAGGTCCATCTATCGTATTAGTATCACGAACGGGCATTGGATTTTATCAAATCTATTAATCTATTAATATCAATTCCACTTGGTTGTAAGTGTAATTCTTTGCATGCCTTGTTGGATTCGCATTGGTAATGTTTTATTGGAAGTTTGCATGTGTGGATGAGAAATATCCTTTCTTTGTAATGTCTTTGGTTTTGGTATTTGGACAATGCTGACCTCATAAAATGAGGTCTATTTTCTAGAAGTGACTGTGGAGACTTGGTGTCATTTCTTTCTCAGATCTTTGGTAGAATTCACCAAAGAGAAGCTTTGCAGCACTCTCAAGAGATAGAGGAAGAGACAGGTAGATCTCTGTGAGATTGAGGCCACCCTGGTCTACATAGTGAGTTCCAGGTCAGTTGGGGCTAAAGGGAGACCCTGTCTCAAACAAAACAAAATAAATTCACCAGTGAACCCATCCTAGACTGGTGCTCTTTGTGGAGGTCATTGTGGATTTGGTTTCTTTAGTGCATAAGGGAATATATGAATTATCTATTCTTTTTATGTGAGTTCTGATAGAGTGTATCTCTCAAAGAATTAGTCCATCAAATTAGTAGCAATGATCTCTCTTTCATTCTTGATGTTAATACTTTATGTGTTTTCTATTTCTTCTTGGGAAGGCTGCCTAGAGAGTATCGGTTTTATTAATCTTCTCAGATACAGCTTTTGGGTTTCTTGGTTCTCTTAAGTAATTTTTTGTTGCCAATTTAAGTTTTATCCTATATTATTATTTACTTGTTGTCCTTACTTTGGATTTACTTTACCCTTATTTTTCTAGTTTTCTAAAATGGTGCTTACATTATTAATTTTAGATGTTTTTCTCTTTCTAATGAATGCAACCCATGCTAAAAATCCCCTCTATGAATGGTGCACTCACTGCATCCCACAGGTATAAGAATTGTATTTTGATTTACATTTACATCATAATATTTTTACATTTCTCTTGATATTTTATTCCACATATGTGTGATGTATATGTATGTATACATGTTTACATGTGTGTGGGTATGAGTGCCTGGGTGTATGTGGAAGTCTGAGGTCTCAATCCCTTGCTCTGGGAATCTCCTGTCTCTAGCTTCCCAGCCAGTGCTGAAATCACAGGCAGGCCGCCACACCCACCCCGCATTTCTGTGGGTGCTGGGGATCCACACTCTTGTCTTCATGCTGGCTACTTGTGTGGCAAGGACTTCAACTGCTGAGCCATCCCCCAGCTCTTCATACCTTTCTGATCCCTGTGTCAGTTTGAAGTGTTTCATGTAACCTTGAAGAACTCCAGGATTTTCTGGCTATCTTCCTTTTACTGGTTTCTAGTCTAATTCTTTTGTGTTCTAAGAGCATATATGGTATAATATCTAATCTTTTAAATGTGTTAAAAGTGTTTTATGGCCAAGAATGTGGCTTGTCTTGGTGAATGTTCCATGTGAGTTTGAGAAGAATGTATTGTCTGCGGTTTTCCAATGAAGTACTCTATAAATGTCATTTATATTTAGTTGATTTACAATGGTGGTGTTCAATTTAGCCACAGTCTCACTCATTTCCTGACTGTTAGTGACTGTTCATCAAGCTGCCCAACTCTAAGATTGGATTTGCCTATTTCTTCTTGATGCTCTATCCATTTTTCTTTGCGTGTTTTGTCATTCTGTTCACATTTGAAATGTGAAAATAAAATAAATTAAATTAAATTTTCTTCTCTTTTTAGTTAGAAGTGAGGCTAAATTTATATATAGTAGTAGCTTGCTTTTTGTGTGTTATTTAATGTTCTGTTGTAGGCTTTGTGTTTGTTTTTGTTTTAACAGACTTTGTCTAGACATAGATCTTTCATTTAGTCTGCCTGGAATCTGATGTCTCTGTTTAGTCAGCAAGAGAAATTTTTATTCTCTGGCTTCCATATTTATTATCTCATATTTCCCTGTTTGTGTCTTCTTGTCCTTTTCAGGTGGACTTTTTCATTAATATCAGTCACTCACAACTTCATTCATCTTCACTCTGCCTTGAATAGTTTTAATCCTGCCTCTGTGTCTGCTTCTTTGCCATCCTTCCTCAGTGTAACAGTCAGAAGCACAAACTCTAGAAGGAAATTGTCAGAACTAGAACTCTGTCTCCCACACTTACTGGTTGACCAACCTTGGGCAAATTCTCTAGGCCCTATCAGTTTCCACAGTTATTAAATATGTACAATAATAATAGAGGGCATGTATGGTGCTCTTGGAAGGATGAAATGAGCTAATCCATA